AGCCACCCCCATTTAGGCCACGTATGGCAACTGTTAGGAATGCCCAACCTAAGCGTACCCAAGGCCACCCCCATTTAGGCCACGTATGGCAACTGTTAGGAATGCCTAACTTAGGCGTGCGCTCGGCCACGTATGGCAACTGTTAGAAATGCCCAACCTAAGCGTGCGCTCGGCCACGCCCATCTGTGCCACGTATGGCAACTTTTAAGAATGCCCAACCTAAGCGTGCGTTCGGCCACGCCCATTTGGGCCACGTATTGCAATTTTTATGAATGCCCAACCTAAGCGTGCGCTCGGCCACACCCATTTGGGCCACGTATGGCAACTGTTGGGAATGCCTAACTTAGGCGTACACTCGGCCACCCCCATTTGGGCCACGTATGGCAACTGTTGGGACTGCCCGACTTAGGCATGCATCATTCCTTCCGAATTAGGACCTAATGCGGTAACGATTAGGCTTGCAGCATTTAGGTGTGCCTAATCATTTCCGCATTAGGCCCACATTCGTCTTTAGGCATGTCTAACTGAAATTCTGGTCGGATTTGTTTCTGCTCTTGGAACTTGTGGTACGTTCTTGTACATTTTGATAATAATTGACTAATTATGCACTGTTAAAGTCAATTATCTCAAGAATTGACTCTCGTTTCTCAAAATTCTACTTCACATCTTCAACTTATTTTCAAGTACGTATCATTCTTTTTCCCAATGCGTTAAGAATTCGACGACACACTCGATAACAAAAGCTCACTCAAGAATCACCAACAATATAAAACGTCTTCCTCGAAACATACATACTTAAAACAACAACTACACCACTTTTCTTCAGATGAAAATCCGCCCTTCTCGAAGGCACACCGAGAAAAAGTAGAAGGAAAGTTGAGCGGAGGAAACAAATTTTATCTTCTCTGTTGATCCGGTCTATTTACCCCTTATCTCCTTGTGTATCCTGTTTTCCACAGACTAAACAATTTCGTGTATTTTAAATGGGCGCGATTCATTTGAAAAACTTTTCATTTATCAAAAATTTTATTTTATTATTGTTTTATTATTTTTTATCCCTTATCTCCTCCTTGCCTATCCTGTTTTCCATAGATTAAACAATTTGGTGTCTTTTTAATCGTGCACGGATTATTTGAAGAATTTTTAGTTTACTCTATTTATTTTATTGTTTTATTATTTTTTACTCCTTTTCTCCTTTTGCATCCTGTTTTCCATATATGAAATATTTTATTTAATCACTATACTACACAGTATTCCGTATACAGTCGTTTGAACAAATGTACTTCCGTACTCTGTACCGCGTCTCCTAACAATTGATTAGAAGCGAATTGGAGTACACACTCCCATAAAAACACCCTTTCTATGGTAAAAATCAACGAAGTAAAGTACGATTTATTGCCACAACCACCTTGCTCTCAACATCTAACTGTCTCCGACTTCCATCTACTTCCACAATTGAAAAAATTCTCTGGTAGAAAGAAATTCTTGTCAGACGAAGAAGTCAAGGAAACCTTTCATGAATATTCCGTAGATTTTGAAGAACCGGTGGTTCGTAATGGTACAGTAGCTTTGGAACATCTTTGGTCCAAATACTTTCACGTTAAAGAGGCTTATATCGAAAAATGAACGTAACTTGAAAACGACGTAAGCTCTCTTTCCATTCCATTTCGAGAACTTTTTAAATTATCCATGTATTATACATGAAAACTTGAGGAAAAATTTGATACTTGTTGAAGAAACTCCTAATACAATTTTATTTTTTAACAAATTTATAAAAATTCTTATTTCAGGTGTATTTAAACAATTTGTGTAATTTTAAATACAAGCATCTGTGCATTTAGAGATCTCTATTTCACATGTATAGGTATATCTCGTTTTTATCTCTGTTCTCGTAGTATTATGACGAAATTTGTTATTCTTATCTGCAACCTGGCAATTAACAGAGTTATATTTTGTTTCCGCAAATTACTCGGGTAAATATATTTAAATACTCGGCTATTCATGTATTATATTACTAATTGAACGAATTAAAATACAGATACGATTTAAATACACGTGAAATATAAATTTCTAAATATACAGGTACGCGTGTACTAAAAATTATGCGAATTGAAATACGTTAATACACGTGTACACGTCTAAAAATAGGTAAATTTTGGGAATTTTTTTTTATAGATAATTGTAAATGAAAAGTTTCAATTTTTTCAGAGGATATAAATGTAACTTTCAGCTTCCTCCTGCAATTTTTAGAAGATACAAATGTTACAAAATGGAGGAGTTATTGCGAAACCTCTTCTGCTAGAACATCGATTACTGGCCGCCATCGCTGGCAAGGATTGGAACCTTTGAAATAAAAAGTTCTTTTTGATTTATGAATAAAAATGTGCTACCTAAAATGTAGCCTAAGATTTTTCAAAAATTTTAAGTATTATGGAAGTTTGAAGAGGAAACACTTCTTTCTACCAAAACAAAATCAACTTTAAACGTTTCTAAAAAATTGAATAATTGACGTATCGAAAAAATTTTAAGCTACATTGTAGGTAACACATTTTCATTTATGACTCAAAAAGAATTTTTTATTTCGGACGTTCCAATCCTTGCCGACAACGGCGGCCACCAATCGATGTTCTACCAAAGAGATCTCGCAATAACTCCTCCATTTTGTAACATTTGCACTCTTCAAAAATTGAAGAAAAATGCTAAAAGTTACATTTATATCCTCTAAAAAAAATTGAAACGGTCCATTCAGTACTTACCCATAAAAAAAATTCCCAAATTTACCTATTTTAGTCGCCTCAGGGTGGTGCACCCTCTTAAGAAAACATACTTTTAATTCCCAAATACACGCTATTTACACTTGTACCTGAATTCAAAGACCCACAATCTCCACAAATTTCCATTACATTAAAAAAAAAAAACACTGCAAAATTCCTACAGTAGCACGAAATCGAGCACTCTCCCATATATTCATCCCCAAGAAAAATGAGATTTCTTGTTTCACAAAATCCCGCGCAGAGCAACGCCGGCAAGAAAGCAAGAAATTTCCATTATATTCAAGAAACACTGCAAAATTCCCACAGAAGCACGATCAAAATCAAAATCGAGCACTCTCCCATAAATTCATCCCTGAGAAAAATGAGATTCCTTGTTTCACGAAATCCCGCGCAGAGCAACACCGGCAAGCGAGCGAAAAAGCATTTACCTTCTTCGCTGACCTGTTTTCATCCACGCCCCTTTTCTTCCTGTCACGTCTTACCTCGGTTCTCGTTATTTCCCTCCTGCGTCGTAACTTTTCCCTCCACCTCCCCCGGGGGAATCAAGTTCGAAACGCCCCTCCATTCGAATCGGTAGCTCGTTAGTCGGCGATTTTTGCCGATTTAGCGTGAGATTTCGTTCCAGAGAAGCCACCGAAGCGCGGCGCGATGAAAACCCAGGCGACCCAAACGGAGTTGCCGGCGATGTTCCAAGGTCGCATCCCCGTAACCCTCAGCCCCAGGACAATACACCGCGTGAAGATGGTCTCGCAGGGAGCGCAGACGAACGGCCTGTTGAACGGGAGGAAATTGACGAAAAGCTACTCGGAGGCCGGCCAGCTGGGAACTCCTTTGGGCGGAGGACAGGCCGGCACGCCGAGCAAGGAGGAAACGGAACATCACGAGCCACTTCACAGGACGCAGAGCGAGGAACCTCCGAGATCACCCTTCCTCGTCCGTACACCACCACCTCAGGGACCAGCGAAAGAACCACTGACCAACGGGGACATCTCAGACGTTATCACGTGCATTGTGAGTCTTTCAAATGTATTTGATTTCTCGTGTTTTGCTTTGGTTCGAAGTGTGATTTAGGTTGTAGTTTTTAGTAGATCATCCTGTAGGTTCGTGTCGAATTTTGTAATTTAGATTAAGGTTTTTAACGAATTTTTCATTTTCACGAGAGAAACGTAAACGTCTTCTCATTTCACAACTTTTTTCTTTCTCTCCCTCTCTTTTTTGGGAAGACTATTGTTCCGTGCCGAACATTCTCCTTTCTCTAGTTTACGAGTTCACCAGTTGTAAACCGGACCTGAAGGATCAGCCGAGACGGTTAGAGACGCGTACCCTCGGTAAACGCATAAACGAACGGCGTTTTCAAGACTCATTCCGACTTCCTAATTATTAAGGTAGTACTTTCCTTCTCTCGTGTCCGATCTTCTTTTTTTCCGGAATTTCCCAAGCCCCAGACACCTCATCCTTCTACCACCACCTTTACCCTCTCTCCATCTACTTAAGAAACACCCTACGACCAATGATCGATTTTCTATATTCTCCCATTTTTTCACCTCCCAAATTTATCTCCGCTTTCCGTAACCTAGATGCATATCCTCTTCCGAATTCCCAGCCAGTCTTGTTCCAAACAGCAATCTACGATACTGAATGATCCACCAAGTCCGAGATAAGGTACTCCGTGACCGCTTCATGCCTCGTTGAAAGTTATCCGACTATTTGCACTCGTGACTTAAGTTCGACAACTATAATGTCGTCGCTATTTTCTTGGATTTTTATTATAATATTTTTCGTTTTCGAATTTATGGGATGATCTAATGTCTTACGGTGGAAGTGTTTAGCCCTTTAAGTCTAAATGGGACTCCAGAGTCTCATACTAGAAATCACAAACGAGTAGCCTTCCAATCCGAAGTAGGAAGTAGAGTATTTTAACCCTAAGAAAAGTCTACGACAAGTTCAAAATACCCCCGGACTTAGAGGGTTGACAAAAATTCGTTAGAATGCATTGGACTCTGGTTAACGTGATTGATATGATTGGTATGATTGGTATTATGCATAGATTGTGTGACGGGGATTATTTAGTTCAAAAGCAAAAGAACGTGGGATAAGACTGCCTGATTTTGAGCTTCCCTTTGGATTTTGTTGCGTCTTGTACTTCGAACAAGCAATATGTTCGAGAGTGGTGGCGCTATGCTGTCGCTGGTTCGATGATGTTGGTTTGATGGATGGTGTGATGTTGGTGAAGATAAATAGTGTCACACGTATTTCAATATTATATTTCAGAATAAGTTACTTGGTGATATAATCAACGCCTTAGTGTGGTGTGCGTGTGAATGTTGATCCTTATACAAATGTTAATAATCATCCCGTTTGAGGGTGTTGTGTCGCTATTTATATGAAAAGTGGATGTGTGGGAGGTGATGGTGTGCGCCAATTAGAGCGTGACTACCCTTCGGACAGTCCTCCAGGACCCGCTAGCATACCGCCCATCCTGGAAGTCCCAGTTGGCAGGGTGGTGGTACGTCGCGTTGGCGGGGGCATGAGGTCCAAGGGTAGCTCGCTCGTAATGGGACTTGAGCGGTCGGGGCGACGGGGAAGGTTTTATGGCACGGATGGTCACTAGTGGGCACCAAGAAGACATGTGGCGCGCAGAAACTTTATGCTGCTACCGCCATAAATGCTTCCTGGGCTTCGCTGACAGATTAAAAGATTTAGTTGGCTGAAGGCAAAAAAAAGGAAAGGTGTGCATTCAAAATCATATGAAAGAACGGCCGTGCCATAAACCCAATCCCTAACAGATTTCATTAATTTAGCCTGTTCCGGAGAATATCGGTACGTATTCTATAGGATGGTCCACCTAACGTGACCACCTCAATTGTTTTCATTATTAGCAGACAGCTCCAAATTTTTTTAGTCATAGTGGATGCGGTTTCAAAGGATCTCCGAGATAGTGACCTTAGATTTTTCTATGTCCTTCTTTTAAATAAGTTTTCAGGGCCGCGTTTAATGTTCGTATGTGTAAATTTTATATATAAAAAAATGTATTATTCTGTGGTCCTTGAATTTAAAAAATTGAACGTGTTGTTAACACGTTGACTGCCACGGTGGTCATATGTGACCGCAGATTGTCTCTCCTGTAGCGCCACGTGACCGGAGTACTTCAAATGTTTGTAATTGTAGAAGTTGAACGAACATTGACAGTTAATGAATTTTGAACATCATCGCTGATTAGAGAATACTTTGAAATAAAATGTGCACTATTCGATAATTAAACAGTTTTACTAGAAGATCAAAAATGAGAGATTAATTTTTATCAAATCTTCTGTCTACCGGTGTATCGTATTAAAGCATTTCAAACATAGATGCGGCTGATCGATACAATCTGGGCAGTATGTGGTAACCTTTTTGGTCCGATTTTTAGCAATCTTTGTTCCAAAACTTGCAAAATTTTTTGTTTTTTCTTTGTCAAAATAAACGAAGATCTGTTTACTATGTTGCTACGATACTGTTTGAGGTATATACCACATCGCACAAGCGTCGTAAATAGCCATATCGTAATTAAATATTCCAAAATAGCTAACAAGTGTCATCGAGTGCACCAAGGCGCCACGGTGGTCACCCGTGACCACCGAAAAAATAAACGCCCCATGGGTAAGAATGTTGTC